TCAGCCTTCCATCCTTCCGAGGGGGTAAAATGAGGACCCAGATTGTTGGGGGCAATATTCTGACTCTGTAAACCTCTTAGAGAGGTCTGTAAAAGCGCTGTGAAACGGTATATAAGTCAAAGTGCTATTGCTAATATGGCCATGAGCACTTTTTACTACTATTGTAACTTCAAATGGTCATAAGTCGAAGACTAAGTATTACCTGTACTTAGTGAAAATAATTGTTCATTATTTCTTTTGCCATAGAGGTACCATGAAAAATTTACTGAGAAAGCAAGGGTGCTGTATACCACTAAGGTTTGAGAACCTCTGGCACAGTGACATAAATTATTGAGTGCAAGTGCACTTGGATTGAAAACAAGACAATTAGAATATCATTCTTGTAGTACATTATTACTGCAGTTTCCATATTACTCTACTTTCTTGTATTTCTTAACAGCCAGCAACCCCAACACGCACAATAGCAGCGACCCCTATTCAGTCACTTCCACAGAGCCAGACAACACCAAAGCGAATTGATACACCCAGCTTGGAAGAGCCCAGTGATCTTGAGGAGCTTGAGCAATTTGCCAAGACTTTTAAACAAAGACGGATCAAACTCGGATTCACTCAGGTATGATCGGACTTCCATGTAGAAGGGATTTGGTCAATGGTATTCAGATCTGAGGCTCTTAATCACTTTTCCCAATTAGAAGTGGTTTCTTATTTCTAAATTTGCAATATTATTTAATGTTTATTAATTCTGATATATTTAAATACATGCTTAGTGTATATTTTGCACCCAATTTGATAAGGAACTTTTGAAGCATATGTGTCAGACTCCTAAAGATAATGTATTAACAAAGAACTTCTGCTTTAGATAGAGCTGACACTTAGTATTATGGAGCCTTGCTGTCAGCACAGAAGCGGAAAATACAAAATGACCTCAGTTCATCCAACTTCAGGGTTGATATGGGATGATTACTCAGAACCCTAACATTTTCATCCATAGATAGGGAGCTATATTATCAAAACATCTTCATAACTTCCCATAGAAAATCATTTGAGGCAAGGTTTTAAGACATGAGCTATTGCAGTTGTAAAATGAACAATAAGTATCTCAGACATTCTACAATAATGGTTTACTGAAAGTGGAAAACCATCGTTCCAATGCTGAGTAAAAATTTTGTTACATCTGATATCCTCAACAGATTATTGTCTTTTTGTCCTTGTAGGGTGATGTTGGGCTCGCTATGGGCAAACTGTATGGAAATGATTTCAGTCAAACTACTATTTCTCGCTTTGAAGCCTTGAACCTCAGCTTTAAGAACATGTGCAAGTTAAAACCACTTCTGGAAAAGTGGCTCAATGATGCAGGTAAATAGTTGTAGATTTTCTCATAATTTCACAGCTGATTTTTGGAATTCTGAAAATGATTCCTGTTAATTTTCCTGACGATAAAAGTACACTTTGCGAGAATTATATCTGTAGATGAAGCTTTTCTGCATCTGTGTCTTATTTATAATTGTTTTCTGTTAAAAAATAACCTCATAAGCATTGCATAAAATTTTATATTCTTAAGACAAGTTTTAAAGAATATTTGAGCCAAATTACTGAGTGATAGACATTAAACTTTTATTCTAAATAAGGATATATGGAGTTTTACCGCAGTGTAAACCCATGTTTAATAAACAAGATGTTAGTATATATATATATAGTTGTGGGAAGTTCATTTTATTCATTAGAATTGTGGGTCTCCTTTCTTTTTGCAAGTGGATACCGGGGTGGGTTTCACCCGGTATGTACCAGTACAGGAGTACCGGAGGGTCAAATTTACTGTGCCTTTCAGTACCCATTGGTCCGGTGGCACCGTAGCAGAACGCTCCCTCCCCTGGCCTGCCCCCCCCCCAGCTCACTCCCCCTGCCCACCCAGTCACTGCTCAATCTCTCTCTCTCACCATGCTTGGGGAAGCTTGGTGGGTGTGTAGGGCGCCTGTCTTCCCCGGCCGGGCTGGAGCACGGAACGGCCTCACAACAGGCGCATCTGCCGCTTGCTGAAGATGCGGCGCTCAGAAGCGGCGGCGGGCTTGTTTTCCACCCGGTTCCTAGCTCTGCAAAGGTCCCGAAAGTGCCTGGGCTCCGGGACATCCTGTGCCTGCCACCGCTGCCGCCGCCACTCCCAAACGAAGTGCCTGAAGCTGCTGCTTGCAGCCATTCGCAGCTGCAGGTAGACTGCACCTGTAGCGGGAAGCTCTTCACCCCGTGACAGCTCTTTTATGTCTCAAAGATGTTTTTTCCAAAAAGCAACTGGATTGTTTTTTCCTTGAGGAAGAAGAACAAAATGTTTCACTTGTCATCCAAGAAACTTCCTCAGTTGTGATGGCAATGTGTGTGTGTTGAGGAGGAAAGATAGGTACTGGTTGAGGCTGGATGGTAGGGAAAAGATCTGGTTGTTCACGATCTCTCTCTGAGAGCTGTTGAAGCCACTTGGGGGGTTGATCTGTGCCCTCATGATCCCCTGAATCAAATTGTAGAATCTTCTTGGAACTGCTACAAGGGGTGCATTGTAGACTAGACATAGGTGGTGTCTTATTCCTCCCTCTCTGTTGAGAGAGAGCTGGAGAGACCTAGTCTGTCCCGAGCTTTTGAAGCTGGTGGGGCGGGCTCTGAATAAAAGTCAAAACCTGAGTTTGATGCTGACCTAGAGATTTTGTTGGAATCCTGGTTTAATTTTTGGAGAAAAGATTCCCTAAACTTGTGACTGCTTTCATCAAACCTTAGAGTGATAGAGAAAGAAAGAAGGCAGAGAAAGAAAGAAAAAGAGAGAAGGAGGGAGGGAGGGAAGGGAGAAAGAAAAAAAGAAAGTGGAAACATACACACAAGGAAGGAAGGAAGGAAAGAATGGAGGGAGAAGGAGAGAAAAGAGAGAGAGACAAAGATAAAGAGAAAAAAGGAAANCAAATGTTATTTTGTTGTTCACAGAACAGATGAAGCTTAGATCCATTATATATCTTGTTGTGAGAATGTCTTGGGTGCCCAGTAACTGCTGTGCCATATCCTTGTTGCAGAAAGTGTAACTTTTTTAATCTATCACTATTCAATCCAGGAAGGAAGGAATTTTTTTTTTTTAAAAGTAGAAAGTGAGAGGAGGAAGCTTTGTTGATAAAGCTGAACTGTGGAATCAGCAAAGCAAAACTTCATGTTCAAATCTTCATGTAACCTCTAGAACAGGAGTCCTCAACCTCTGGGCTGTGGCCCATTCGGAACTGGGCCACGCAAGTAGTGGGTGAGCATGTATGCATGCACAGCTCCATTTGTGTGAACGGCATGCACATGTATCTGCCAGTCTCACAAATTGAGTGCTCATGTGAGCATGCATGCCTGCTACACACAAAGAACTATCCTCTCTCCCCTCTGCCAGGCTATCAAACCAGAAAGGTTGGGGACTACTGCTCTAGAAGCTTTTACACTGTAGGCTGAAGAAAATACTTCCATCATTTCCTTTATCATTAACAACATGGCTTTTCTTATTTGAATTTCTATTATAACTTACCATCAAATAACTATTTCTTGTAATAAATTTAGTCATTGAAATCAATGACTTAGGAGATCATCCAAATGTCACATAGACCATTAAGTTAAAATCCTTGTGCTGAGTATAAGAATCAAATTAATTCATTAATGGCAAATGTTAAATCAGCCTCAGCCTTTCTACCTGAACACATCTAGTAAAGGGAAGACCATTAATATTATTAGGGAACTGCTCTTATTGTTATAAAAGTTTGGCCTTTCCCATTAATTTTCATGAAATTTTCAAACTATATAAAGTCATTAAGCAGATCTTTCAAAATTATGTAGTGATGTTTCTTGTTTTCTGTCTAGCTTTTGTTATTCATATTGTTATATAACAGTATTATATGATAGACTGATGGATAATATAAATAACAAAACACTTATTTTCATGTCATAAAACATCATTGTTAAGGTCCAGCCCCGATTAGAACAAATGCGTGTCTTGTGAACTTTTAAACTATCCTTTTTTATTTTCCTTTCTTTCTTTCTTTCTCTTTTGTAAGCCGCCCGGAGTCCTTCGGGATTGGGCGGCATATAAATTTTTAACAATAAATAAAATAAATAGATAAATAAATAAAATAATCTGTTTTTACCATTCCAGATGTTGAGTAATTTGTTACCTCTGATTTACCAATGTTTCAGTGGTCATCATGTCAATCCATCAGTACGATTCCCAGTATTTATTTTTTAATACAAAAATAGTAAACATTTTGCTGATGATGAATTTGTCTTGGCCATTTACAAAGTGTGCATTGCTTCATTTATATTTCATCCCTTTTCTTATTCATAAATGGGGAAATCCTACACATTTTGGTGGCTAGAGAGGAGAAAAGGTAATAGAGAAAGGCAATATCTTTTCCCCACTTGCTTGCACAAAAGTAGGTGCATGAGCACCTTCAAAGAGGCCCTCAATCTTTCCCAGCATTAGGATTTTCTCCAGTGAGTCCTTCCTTCTCATTAGGTGGCCAAAGTATATCATGGTGTATATAAGTACATTGTGTTCAGGGAACAAGAAGTTTGGAGTCCTTCCTTTGGCTTTATTTTATTATAAAAAGGAGAAGGGGAAGATGCTTAGTTCTGGATATCTCATATGTTTTCCTTCTTGAAGGATCTGCAGCATCTACAGCAGCTCCAGCAACAAAATCTCAATCTGCAACAGTTTGTCTTGGTGCATCCAACAACCAACTTGCAACCAGCACAGTTCATCATCTCACAAACACCGCAGGGGCAGCAGGGTAAGCAATACATTTCTGAGATGATCTTTTAGAGTTTTCCCTTTTTTTTTTGGACACTAATTTTAAAAAAATTGGTTACAGGCATGCTTCTTTTGGGGTAAGAAAAAGAAACTGTTCTATTGGAACCATCTGACTGATGGTAGTCACCTGATCAGGATGTATCTACTTAGTGTCCCTTTATACGAATCATTTTCTGTGTGAAAGATAAAGAAATTATTTTTAAAATAGTTTTTATTCTAATTGCATATTGATTAATCAGCAACAAATTTACATTTCTTCAGAATGTTTAGAAGTTGTTCAGCTGTATCACTTACTTGAAGCTTAAGCAAATATGACTAATAGTTAATTGGCTGAGCTTGTTCCCAGCAAATTCTACAGAACAGACATGCCATAAACCTTCAAGAGGACTCTGTTATGAGAATAGTATCTTTATATTATAGATTTTTTTTTCTTTTTGGCTTAAAGCAGGGGTGTTAAACTGGTGGCCCACAGGCCAGATGCATCATGCACATGCCACGTCCACCCCAGCTCCACAAAGGGGAAAAATGTCGTGACAGCAATGTGATGCCGTGAGTTTGACATGTGTGGCTTACAGGAAGCACAAAATGCTGGTGGCTTATAGATAAAGGCAAATAATTTGCCCTTCCCCTTTTCCTTTTACCATTTAAGGACCAATTGTATCAACCATTATTAAACACTGGCTTTCTAGGAAATGGGATGGTAGTGCAATTTGCTAGAACAAAGGTCCATTTGTATATTGCTAGTAATACATGTGGAGAAATCTGATAAGAAACAGTAAGGGCAGAACCTCTATTTAGACATGGAGCCCAGTAGAGATTTTTTTAAGTAATGGCTTGGCTTACCACAGTATTCCCATATGGAACTTCTGGCTAATAGCTCACAATGGAGTTNTAGAGGGATAGAAAGAGATAGAGAGAAATACAGTAGGTAGGGAGAGAGAGAGTGAGTAGGTAGGTTGGTAGGTAAAGGGATAGAGGGAGAGAAATACAGTAGATAGGTAGGGAGAGAGAAAGAGTAAGTAGGTAGGTAGATGTTTCCAGGAGGTGTATTTGTCCATGTGCTGGAGAAGGAAATCATTGACAATCTGCAGCACCTTGTTTCTGCTGGCACAGCACTTGGTCAATGTAATTCTCATCAATCAGTTAAACAGCTTTCCAAAAGGGGGGGAAAGTTTTGCACTCTGCAAACCTTCCAAAAACGGTCCGTTTTTCACAAAAACGGGCCCATTTTTTGTTTTTAAAAAAATGCATGCATAGTCTTATGGAGGCTTATAGAATGCTGTTGGGGGCTGGGGGGGCAAAAAACGGCCCATTTGTTGCTCATTTCTGCCCTCTCCAGCCTCCAGGAGCTCTCTGAAAGCCTTTATAAGGCTATGCATTGCCATTTGGGTGAAGGTCGAGGCTTCGGGAGGCAAAAAATGCTGTATTCGATGTATATAACGCATCCAGATTTTCAGCCTCTTTTTTGAGGAAAAAAAGTGCGTCTTATACTCCGAAAAATACGGGTACATGAATAAAAATGTCTACTTCAGTCCATTGTAGGATGAAA